TTGAAGAAGGTCTAATATGTTTAATTTTTTATACTACTATAGTAGTAATATCAGAAAGCTGGCTGGCTTGATGGCATGAGATCACCGTACCCTGTGCCGGCACTATTTAGGAATCTAGTAAAGTTACAATACTTTGACAGATTAGTTTTTCATTTTTGATTCCTAGATAAAGAGAACTCTATCTGTATGTTTTAGAGAAAGTCATTAAATTAACGCAAAAATTCTTCCCACGTTTAATTGATTGAGTTTTAACATTTTGACAGCAGCCCATATGAATGTTACGACACTGGCGCTCAAACTTTTTATGATTCTCTAGGGATAGGTAACGAACATAATACTTTCCAAACGCCTGTAGTAACATTGTTCTGTATTTCAATCAATATACTCATGTCTTTGTCGATAATAAGTTAATAAATTACATATTTACCAACACCGAGCTCAAAGGTGTATTTACAGAAAACTGTAATATTTTCCGACCGATTTCCACCGATTTTACAACACGAGTACAAAAATCAACACACACAATATTGAAAAATTAACTTCTGAATCTTGGGCAACAATCTTTTAACATGGCTTATTATACTTGTATTCGTTAAGTCACTGTAATCGATTACTTATCGATTACGTTTAGGTAAGCCGAAATAAATCATTTACATATATAGTAGGCGTTTTCAATATAGTTAAACGAATTGATTGATTATTTGATTAACTGAGTGGGAGACAGATAATGTCTTAGTTAATAGACGTGAAATTATGGCGTTTTTTAGATAATATAGAATTTCTCAAAATTCCTGTAGGAAATATATTCATTGTAGAATGGCAATTGGGTCACATTGGACAAAAAACTAAGATACCAAGGCTAAGAAAACCACCTGTAGATACTTCAATACACTTCGATTGGCGATCAGTCAGTCAGACTTCCACTTAGTAAGAGACTTGCTCTCGCTATGAGAAAATTCATTGTACCTACTAGGTGGACCGGCGACATTGTCACAGGTGCAATCGGCCATTAAAAACATACAGTAGGTTGTCGGTCGTCAAGGCAGATGGCAACAAATTACAATCCTATTTACTTCTAGTTTAATCCAAAGTAACTAGTAGAACATGTAATTGAAAACGCAGCTGGGAATGTTCGCTTTTAAATTGTTTCGAGAATTCAATCACTGAACGAGAATACACATGTGTTCTTAAAAGCGCCGTTGAAAGTTTCCAGATACCTATGACGTGGGGCGTGTAAGCATCAGCACATTAAGTTCTAATTTCTTCAATCTAATTTCGACTTTATATTATGAAAGGAGTAAAGATGAAAATCAATTACAATAAAGTCAGACAGGAGACATTGAAGCATCTATATGCGGTCTCTAGGCACACAGGTACATGTTAAGAATTCTTCCTCATTCCATTCTGCTGCTAAACTAGGAGCAGTTTAGAAACGGATCAATGCATTGCTTAAAGGTGAGATGATACCCTTGATTCGATTGAATGTCAGGTTTATCTGCACCTCTTAATAGATGACGGACGGTATAATTTATTTTTAAAGCATCCGGACTTCGAGGTGGTAAATTTCCTAGAAATAATACTGTGATGCTAAAATAACAAGTGCGCGTGTCTTGTTTACAATGTTCTTGTGCATACAGGACCTACTTACGGCATGTAAAATATGAACTTGATGTCATCGGTGCGTACTTACCTGAAAAGAGAAAATAGGCACATTAAACACAACGAATAAAATTGTATGATTATAACGATAACCATATTGCAACGGCAATACAAAGTTTAGTAAAGTGCCAAAGAAGTTGAGATCCTTCGAACTAGGTACAAAGTTAAGCATTATTTGGAATTTAATCATTATTTTTTAAATGCGAAATATTGGAAACACCTACCTATATGTTTCCAAAATTAAATTTCTTTAGTGATGGCAGGTACCTACCTAGAGGTATAATTGGGATGATGACAGGGTATAAAAATTAAAAATATAATTAGTCAGTTAGGTAATGAAAAAATATTAGACATTTCAAATCAATATATCGTCGAAAGTATTCGTTTCTATAAGAAAATAAAAAATACGTGTCAAATGATTTAAAATAATCTATCAGACGGACATTAAAATAAAAATTAGGCATCTACCCTATTGATGTAATTTAGTCGGATCCCTTTCTTATGTATCATCCTTTCAATAAACTAATAAGAATAAATTCACACAGGGACCTACTATTACTACTTCTTCCTTCTTTACAAATTCTTAACCGGATTTAGAAACCAGGTTTTGCAATCTACTCTTGATTAGGCTCTTGACATATCGCCTGACATTTCGTTATTAAATCCGCACGTAAGACACGAACCGTGTGATTTTCAAATAAAGGCGCTACACAATTAGAGGTCAACGCTCACTCACAACTAATATTACTCACAAATGTAGTAAAGGCTGAGTAAAGAAGCTTGTAAACATTTCGACGCCTACGTGTTGTCGTTGTTAAGCTGTAGAACTTTGTAAAACAGTAAGTCGGTAACCAGCTATTTTTGTTTTTATAGTGCGGTTGAAATCTTCATGAACTTCCCACGTCGTGGGGACGAATGGGAGGGTGTGTCGGGCTCTTACCGGCTAAGACCACCGCGGTGTTCCTCCTCTGCCTGTGGCCGTGACCCGGGACACCCTTGAGGATTCAATGCACCCGGCAGACCTCGGCCTCCTGCTATATTGCGGCAAGTCCCATCACGTAGCAGCCCTTGGAGGCTGATTTCATTCCTCGAGTGGCGCGCCGTGGAATACAACGCTATCGTCTATTTGCGCCCATACAGCGGACGACTGACTCCCATAGCCAGTCGCCAGTAGGTACTTATTCTATCCTACAACTAAATATTTAAGTAAGTGTTACTGAAGTAAGCACATTTTGAGTACGATAATAGTTATTTTACTTTTTGTTTAAGCTGTTAAAACTAATACTACGTATGTTTATCTACTATAACTATTATAGTGAAAGTATTCGTTAGTGCTTCTCAAGTACTTACGATTAAGTACAGTTTTAGGTCTTAAAATGGAAAAATTGTATCGAATAACAAAGATTCTTATTGTTTTCAAATTCAATTTAAGTACTTTAACTCGTCGAGTACCGTCATTATAGACACAATTATAGAACAATAGGTTGCGGTCACCGGTGACCGCTCGGTGTTTGACAGTTTAAATATAAGATTTAGAGTTTTATCACAAGATTACATTATCGGTGCCTGGCGTTTCTGACTTAGCTGCTGCCGTATAGGAGTTTGCTAACATATTTAAGCCAGGCGTACTTAATACCTAACCTAACCTTAACTTAAGACCTAGCTGGTTTGCTACAGAATAAACGCAGCATCCGTGCATTGAAGTCTGTATATCTAATGACAGATACCTATTTAATAAATTCAAAATATGACATTGTATCCAAAATTCACACAACTATTCCCTACATAGACCTACTAAAAAATAAAAATAAGTTTTAAAATTAAGCCGGCCATTTTAAACTGTTAAACACCAAGCGGTCACCGGTGACCGCAACCTATTGTTCTATAATTGTGTCTATAATGACGGTACCGGTTTTGTGCGGTCACCGGTGACCGCTTGGTGTTTGACAGTTTAATAGGAAAACTGTATTTTACTTATGAAGAAAAAGTATTTGACCTACAACACTATGTTTAAAAAAAACTAGAGCAAAATGTAATAAGAAGAGTATTTTTTATAAACCTTACTTTTGGAAAAGATTTGTAGCAATAAAAATAAATATTTATGACTCTCCAGACTTTAACTGTAAACAATAGGAGAAAACACTTCAGGTCTCACATTAATTTAATCGTTTTTATGAACCCTAAGTTTACTTAGTCAATGAAATAATACCGTGTGAGTGTTTGAAACAGGTACCTAGCGGTTTCATGTCGCTATGAAGTGCGTAATTGTTGCAATTAAATTATAACAGCTAACTACTGTAATATTCTAGACACAACAGTTACTATTCACAACAGTTATACAAATATAACTCAGTAGTTTTAATATTATTTACCTATTAATATTCTTTGTTAATCTTAGTATCTATTGTTTTTTTTTTATATTTTAGGTGATTTTAACTAATGATAACTTGTTAGTAATTCTCGAATACTATATATACTTGTTAGTAATTCTAATGTTTAGTATGTAGGAGGAGTTAAGTACAATCATAATATTTATTTTGATAGTAATATGATTAGTGTAGAATGTCTTTGGCTATTAATATAAAGAATATAATACGTTGTGTTATAATAATAACGTCTTCTATTTTCACTTCGTAAATGCCTAGTCCCAAAAAACCCAGAACATATTAAAGCGGTTTTCAATTCTTATGAATAAGTGAGTCACAAAATAAGAAAGTAAGAAGGTGCTAAGACTTGTTCTTCAAAATATTTGGTGAAAGCATAAAATGGGGCAGTAGGTAGGTTCTGTAGCATTTACTACCAAGTGTGTCGTACGGATACTTTGTAAACCTCAACGGTGACCCGGTCACCACAAACGTTACCTAAAGAACTCACCGCGGTTCAACTATAAATAGACACATAAATAGGTAGGAGCTCCCTTAAACATATTTTTTATTATAATATTTACATTTATAATCAATTAAATATGATTTATTAAGTGTATGCTCAATTATTCGAATAAGGAAAATCGAAAAAGCCGACTCGTGGATCCATTGTTTCGACTATTTTATTGGATACAATTTCCTCGTTTATCTGATCTTTCAATTTGTTCTACACGTGTTCCGCAATGTTTGTTTACACTCAGGACCTTCTTAGAATACATATCATATCGTATATCCAACCTTCACTGCAAATTACTAACATTAAATTATGTATTACCATCGAATGACAATTATAAAGCTCGTTTACCTAGAAAATTATTGTTTATCTTACTGCAGCTAAGAGTTAGTGCATATAGACGTGCAGAGTAATAAAAACCGAAAGAATAAGTGTAGTCCCACGGATGTAACGGTGTTAGAAGCCGCTATGAAGTTGTGTGGAGGTGGCGTAGTGATGGGCATCAGACGATTTCGTATAAACCACTCTTGTTTTGTCCGCACCGCCAGTCGCAGACACCACTACGTCGCGGCAAGCTTGCTCGTCTAAACATCATTGTGATCGATACGTGAACATGACAATATCTAATACATTACAAGGATATTCTGTTGTTATATTGTGAAAGTGCTAACGTGTCTTCAAGAGTGTATTCGGATTTTTTTTGCGGTTAAGGTGAGACTATAGTAATTGATTAGCTATTTATTGTTAGCCAATTTGTTTACAACATAACATCAATTTTATAGATATACATACGTTTACAAATGTAACAATCACTTTTAGAATAAGAAACCGTTGCAGTACCTATGAATTTTAACAAAGATTTTAGTTATTGACAAAAAAATCACCATTCCTTGAATTATAGGGAACAACCTCAACTTTGTTTGTTTGTAGTTTACATATTGATTTGTTATCTCAATAGACCAATAACCGATGACTAATATTGTTGTTACAAAATTAAAGTAATTGTAGTTCATATTATTTATGTGTTTGTAAACAAAATTATCAACAACGACTCGGTTGATAAAAAATGGTTTTTCCAATTCGTGCTCGAAGCAACTGATATTAAATTACAAAGTTCAGAAGAACTAAGTAGTTTTTATTCAGGTTAATATATTAACTGTTTTTCGTTGAACAGTTACTTTAGAATTATATTATGTCTTGGACAAAAATATTATTTTACTTTCACTTAAACGCATTTTAATAGATATATCTTGTGTATCTTTAAAACATAGATAAATTAGTATCGATAATTTTAGAAAACATTGAATGAAATTGAGTTTATTTTTCTCTTTAGAATAATTTAAAATATTTAAGAAATAACGTCGACCCATAAAATATTAAGAAAAACGTTTCCTTTGTTGAGTCGGTTAAAAAGATAAAATGAGTTTTTATAGAGAACATGTTGTCTTACTTATTGGGGTTTTTAAACCATATTTGATGTTTTTCAATATTTTCCATTACACACTTAAGAATTTACGTAAACATAATATAAAACATGTAATAAAATTATATTAAATACCCATAAATTAGGAACACAGGGGAAAATCCCAAAGGAGCTATAAAATGATTGCAAATTAAATTAGCATTTAATTTAAGATTATCTAATTAGTGTCTGATTGAGAAAAAACTCGTTTATAATATGAAAATCCAATTAACTTGATTTGATCTTGAAGAGTATTTTCCGTAATTATTAATCAAGTATTTCTAGACGTGTGACTAGTGTTAATTCCACCCTGTAATCTAGATCAAAAATTATTCAATGTTATATTATCAAGACGTTTCTTTCCACTGCTGGACATATGTAATTTTTACTATCATAGCACGCCACTAAACACGATGACTTTAATATTTCATTTCATTTCATTTCATAGACTATAGGTAATCTGACAGTAAATAATTAGGCACATCGTTCATAAAATAATCGTAGGGAAATTTAAAATTCCTTCATTCCATTGGATCTTCTATTGAATAAGCCGACAAGCATCATGTTCATTTGTAGATATATATAATTCCTTTCGACTGGTTTTTGATGTCATCAAACCTTTTTTTTTCTATTGGCTGTGAAATGAAGGGGGGTTTTTTAACATTTCAATAAATTGTTAAATGAAATCAATTAAATAAAAAGCACTTTATTATGGATAGGTCTTCATACCTATTTACTAAAATAAAAATGTGATATATGTATTTGTTCAAATGAAATATTAAATGCCTAGTTTGTACCATAAAATAATCACCACCAACCAATCAGTTCAAATTCATAGTCATTTAATAAAAAAACATACGAATTATAATATTTTGGGTAACTATTAACTCTATAATATTTTAGGTTAGGTGACTGTATAATAATAATGTATGCGGGTCTATATTATTTATAATAAATAAATATAAATAAGAACATAAAATGTTATAGTATGGAATATATTTAAATATGGATGAGTATTTTACATTATTTTATTTTAACAAAGGTTTTTCTTAGATTTGATTTTTTTTATTGTTAAAATGTCATTTAGGCTCAAGAATAGTAATTGGATCCGCAACCATTCTGCCAGAAGTATGAAGAATTATAGCAGGGACATGTACAAGTAGCTAATTCCATAGCAAGTATAGTTACTCAGCTTATTTATTTATTTTATATGCTTTATTGAATACATTTAAGGAGCTTAAAAACAAACAATTCAAGTAAATATGCGTATAATGGGCGGTCTTATCACACAATGGTGATTTCTTCCAGACAACCTTTGGATGGAAATATTTATAAGAAACCAGATATGGGATAGTTAAATGTACAATAGAAAAAGACAGCTTAATATCTGATGTGCAATTAAGTATTTTAAATAAATAGACATCATTATCAGAATGAAAAAGAGCAAAAGTAACGTTCAATAACACCTTCAATACTTAAATCAATTCAAATAATCGAACTGGTTTTGGTATTAAAAAGGTGAATACTCCAACTCCAATACTCGATTAAAAAACCCAAAGAAATCAACAAGATTTTAAATGAAAAAATCGGTCATGTTAACAATAATTTCACTTACTTTATGGAACTTGTTCGGCTAAGCAAACACATAAATTCTTATCAGACGGCCTTTACGATGCCTCTGCGAAAATAACTACTTGAGAAAGATCAAGTAGTTCTAAGGCCCGGTCCTCCAACCGACCTTCAAAACAAATGCACACTGCAATTGACAAATGACAAATAAAAAATGTACTCAAATGTTATTAGTATAAAGTCGGTAGTAAAAACTTACGATTCGATTAATTGTAGCTGACATTTCTAAGCACTAGTATATAAGAACATAGTAAGAATGCTAATTGAAACCTTATACCGCGTTAATAAAAGTTCTATTTGGCTGTCCAGCCTTGAGTTTTCTTGATAGGGCAATCTTTTGTTCTAAATTTTTCTTAATGCCTCTCACAATTAACAAAGAGGCCGTATACCGAAATTGTATGTAACCAGTATGATAATCAGATTACAAAATAAAAAATGATGGCATGCGAAACATTTTATTGTTGAATATCAGGCTTATAGCAGCATAAAAATGCAATAAAAATTCTAATGAATATTAAGATTTTCAAAGCGCTATCTCCAATAAAATCAAAAGATAAACCACTAAATAGGTACTACTATGAATGATGAAGGACTTTGAATAAATGTTTAGTAGATGTTAAAACACATAATCTTTGTCAATTATCTCTTTGAAGTTAAATTGAACATAGTACATTCATTTTTTTATTGATATTATTGCCACACTAGCCTGGACCCGTCCATAGTGAACTTGAACTTAACGAACCGGAGCTACTTTCTAAGAAAATAGATGCCTTACCTGGGGATTAGATTAACAGTGTGTCAGAAGCATTTAAACAAATATAGGATACGAGTCGGACAAAACACATAGCAGATTCTTAATTATCACTTTACATAAAAATTAATAAAAAACTTGAATAGGTTAGTGTTATCCTTTTTAAGTTTACTTTATTTAAAATTATGGAAATCTCAAAATACATTTCATCACCATCATTGATAAGTTGCCAAACAGATTGTTTAGCACGTTGCAATTTTATTTATGGTAGGCCAAAAGGTTTTGTTACAAAATCATCAATGGTTACGATAACTTAAAGGTTGAAACGACAATGATCGTCGAACTTGATTCCCAAATGAGAATTTTAATTTAATATCTGACATTTCGACAAAGCTTTTGTTTTCATTTTACATGGGAATTTAAAAATAACAGTAATAGATGCAAACGTTGAGTTTACCAAGAAACAAAGAAATTCATTTAATATCTATTGAAAATATGACTAATTTCAGCACGCAAGACGCTTTCTTAAAACGGACATAGGTACCGTTATGTGAATATAAACACCACTTAAACCGCAACAGTTTTGGCATTAGAAACTCTTTGTCCAAACGACTAATGTGACTTACATTTCTCTTAAAAGACGTTTCATTAAGGCTAAAGTCTCAAAAGCAAGACCTGTAAAGGATCATTCCGTAGAACAATATCAACCTTATGGTAATTTACTCATAACTCATATTACTAAAATAGTAGAATTTGTAAGATCTACAGTCGTATTTGTTCGCTAAACTTCACTGTTATTTCAAGTGGCTTTGTATAATTACTATTCTATTATACTATTACCTTCAGGCATTCTAATGTTTCTTCTATTAACGGTTGCGACCTTCGCAGAAGTTAGAAATGGAATCTGTCGAGTAGCCAATGCATTATAAATGTAAATGCGTAGAACTGTTTCTCAAGTTATTGGGACTTTATCACCATCGTGGGCAGATGTCATGTGAATAGAGAAAATGTTTGAAACCCACACGCTCAGGGGACATGCCATCCTTTTCTAGTCCAGTTAAACACACAAGTCCAAAAAGGTGAGATCTAGATAATAATGCCATAGGGAATAACGAATATACTATGTAACAAAGTTCGCAATTCGTAGAAAGAATCAAAAGAAGTGAAAGCAGAAGAAAGCTATTGCTTGAACAGTTTTAATTTTACGTATTCATCGAATGAGCAAAATCATTAGTTTCAAAAACTTATGTACAACCATGTCTGGTAACTAGATTTTTTGAAACAAACTAATATCATTCTTTGTGGTATTAATTTTACACGTGGTCTCTCATTATGTTCTTATTTGAAGGTATAAGTTAGTTAGCCCCTTACTATAACTAATTTGTTGTTCAAATATTTGGAAATCTCTCAGAATCTCCTTGTATAGCGTTGCCGTTATTTAGATGGACATGTATCTAATAACAGGGTTAGATATAATGAAGGAACTCTTGTTAGTAGTCAAGTTCACTAAAGTCATGAATACACGATAAATTAGGTGGTAGTTAAAAATGGTAGTTAAACAACCTACCTAGTTGCGGATTCTGCTGTGGGAACGATCTCATGATGCGCTATCAACCTTAGATCGTAAATTATAATTATTACTAAATCGTGATTAGTAAAAAATTAAGAAATAAAACCTTGTTAATGATCGTATTTGTTGCCTACTTATTATTGTTGTTGTTCAGTATCATGTGGCGATAAATCATGTCTATTAAGTATCCGGATTTGTACAAAAAGTAATACTTCTATGATTTTGTTAAACTTTTAATTTAATGGACCATTTCAATCTATAAATCGTATGGTTTTTCCATATATTTTTTTAGTTTAAAA